ATCCAGTTCCCTTTCTACTACCTCCCATCCTATTTCAGGTATGAAGAAAATACCCTATTAATAACTTGACTGAATAGCCACAAAGCAACTGTAAAGGAATTGTAGCTGATAAATCTAATGATTATTCAGCTTACACGAGAAAAGAAGGCCTCCTGACATGTTCCACACCAGCTGTCACTCTGAATATGTAAAAACACAGTGGTTTCTGAATCTCTTTTACTTTTTCGCTGTTGTCAGGCAGCAGACTTGTGGTGGTGGTGTTTCTTTTGCTTGTTTGGTTTGGTAGAGGGTAGTTGTTTTAGGATTTCGATATCCTGGGTGGCACACATGATTAATGTACTCAGCTACTCACCAAAAGATTGGAGGTTCAAGTCCAGCCAAGAGGCACCTTGGGGGAAAGTCCTGGCAGTGTACTTCAGATATCCCAAAGAGCACAGTTTTCCAGTGACACACAGGGGTTCTCACGAGTCAGATTTGACATGATGGCAACTGGTTTTGAGACAATACTTTCTCTTTTCCTTTGTGATTGAATCAGAACTAGCTAACAGCTGACCCTCCAGTGGGTTTTTGGAGGCTGTAAATCACACAGGGAGAGACTGTCCATCCACCACCACCGAGTAACTGGTAGAGTCTAACCACCTGCCTCTGGTTGGTAGGTAACTCCTTACCCATGAAGCCCCCAGAACACCCTGTACAACACCTGAGATGCTGGGAATGTTAGCAACGTCAGCTTGATTCCTACTTTTTGGAATTTCGAGTCTAGGTGACAAGATGGCCATTCTAGAAATCATTATAGGTAATTAAATAGCAAATGCCCATGAGCAAAGGAATTAAGGAATTACATGGAACTGGAATGTGTAATTGGAATGTGTTATCCTCAGCCCATACTAGGGTTCAAAGAAGGTTTTCCGGGGTCAGTAGTGTTTGAACCAAAGCTCAGAGGTTCTGTGAGAATTCTAAGGGGAATGCACTGTCAGAGGAAAGTTGGAGAATGCCGGAAATACCACAGTAACAGTGCCCAGAGAACTGACAGATGCGCTGCACACTGGTGTAGGTGGAGTGACGTGAGCCAGAGCTCCAGGCAGGGGACACACCAGATCACGTAGGGCCGTTTGGGTCCCAATGAGAGTATGGAATCCACGGAATTTTTTTTTATTATTATTTTTTGTGTGTGTACCGTCAAATCGGATCTGACTGGTACAGAAGGAGGTTGCCCCTCCTTCTCCAGCAGAGCATCTGGTGGATTTGAACGCGCACCTCTGGGATTGCAGTGCAGTTTCTTGCCACTAGGCCACCAGAGCTTGCCAAATCCACCAAAACATTTTAAACGAGGGAAATACATTGTTGCATTCACATTTTTCAAAAGACTGCCCTCACGTTATTAAAAGAATGGATTTAATGTAATCAGCCTGATTCCTGTGTAGGCCAGTATGTGAGATTCATGTGTACAGTCTCCGTTTGTAGAGATGGATAAATTAGAAACTGGCTACATACAATGGGGATATTAAAGCTTGAAGAGACTGGTTTACACACGTTCACAATGTTACTATTAGTAAAATGAATGTAAAAGGGAAACAACACAATACACACGTACAGAATACTATGTAAATGAAAGAATGTCTAAAATTCAAAGCACATGTGTGAAACACAAAGTATATAAATATATGTATGCAAACTAATAAAAATATTTAATTAAAGCACACACACACACACACACACACACACACACACACAAAAAGAATAGATATAAAGTCCTGTATGCAGACAGAAAAAGTAGGAAGAAGGAAGTGGGAAGAAATGTGTGTTGTTGCTGCTGCTGTTAGGAGTTGCTGAGAACGACAGCTTCCAACAACCCTGTGAACCACAAAGCTGCGCCTGGCCGGTCCTGCACCAGCTTCGTGACCTCCGACGTGCTTGAGCTCACTGCTACAGTCACCACGTTGTTGACGGTCTTCCTCTCCTTTCACCATGTTGTTGACGGTCTTCCTCTCCTTCTCGAACCTCTTGCAGCATCATGTCTTTTTCCACGAACTGGTCCCTCGTGACAACATGACGAACGTATGTGAGATGTAGTTTCACCATCCTGGCCTTTAAGAAGCACGCTGCTCTTAGGTGCCATCAAGTCAGACCCAACTCAGAGCTGACTTTCCAGTGGGTTCTCAGAGGCTGTAAATCACACAGGAGGAGATGTTGTTGTTGTTATTGTTGTTGTTGTTATTGTTGTTGTTGTTGTTGTTGTTGTTGTTGTGTGCCACTGAGTCACCTGTGACTCATAGTGACCCTATGTGCAATAGCTGTGAATCCTGTCCTATCCTGAGCCGGTCTCACTGATTCCTACACAACTACCCTTATTACCTCCCCCCCAGTTACTGTGTCAATCCATCTCATCTGGGTCTTCGTCTCCTGCACTGTCCTTCCATCCTTCCAAGCATGATGTCCTTCTCCAAGGACTGGCCTCTCCTGGCCACGTGCCCAAAGTGAGAAGGAGCTGCAAACTCTTTACCTCCAAAGAGAAGCCTGGTTTCATCCTCTCAGAGACAGACCTGTGTGTTCTCCTGGCAATCCATGGTATGTTCAAAAGTCATGTGAAATATACGCCTGTCCTTGCAGGTGTGGTATCCACTTCCTAAGCAAAATGCTACCTGAAACTCTATGAACTTTGCTAAATGTCGATAGTTGTCGAGGGGCTTCAGGCCTTTTGTTCACAGGGTTGTTATGAGTCGTGCTCGACTCGAAGGCAATCAGCAACAACTTCCAAATTAATTCAGCAATGCTCGTCCATTGTTTCTACATCTCATGTTTCTTTCTGTGGTTGTTGTTATTGTTTTGGTTTTGTAGTTTTTATGAAAGGCAGCATAGTTTACAGTGCTACTGTTAATGTTGTTGTGGTGGTTGTTATGTGCCATCAAGTTGCCTGTGACTCATAGTGACCCTATGTAAAACAGCCCTAAATGCTGCTCTATCCTGTACCAACCTCACCATCTCCAACACATTCATTCCCACCACCCCAATCACAGAATCGATCCATCTCATCGAGGATCTTCCTCTCCTTCGCCGCCCCTCTACTCTCCCAAGCATGATGTCCCTGTCTAAGGACCAGTACCTCCTTGCAACATGCCCAAAGTGTGTCAGACGAAGCTTCAGAATCCTTGCCTCCAAGGAGCAGCCTGGCTTCACCCTCTCCAGGAAAAAAACTTGTTTGTTCTCCTAGCAGTCCATGGTATATTCAATGTCCTTCTCCAGTGCCACAGCTCAAAGGCATCAATTCTCCTTCTATCATCCCTAGTCATTGTCCAGCTTTCTGATGCATAGCGAGTGATTGCAAAGACCATGGTGTAGACAATTTTAAAAAGGGAGGGACGGTGGAAAACTCACAGCAACCCTTTACTGGATGGTTTCAATTCTTCTTTTTTTATTTTTTTGGTCTTATTAAAGAAAATTGGTTTTGTTGATTAGGATTTAAATTTACAATTATATTTGGGCTAGTTGCAAACATTCTTATTGTAAAAAGCTTTGATGTAAATGATACATTCTTCGTGCAAATAACAAGAGTCATTGACTTAACTGCCACTGCAGCACTAAAGTGCTGTCCCTGTGTTTTTCAGATGGGACTCTATGTTTATCTTTTTTTTTTACTTATTTCAGTATAAATATGATAGAATGAATGTGTAGAATTATGCATTGGCTTCATGACACGATCAAAAATATTCTGTCAAATTATTTGGATGATTTCTACAAATGATTATAAACAGTGTGCTTTTGGAGAAATGTACCTGAGGTTGTTTTGAAAGGGTTTTCACAAATAATTATCTCCCCTCATAAATAAGTTATCTTGTTTTCTTAAGAAACCCAGTGGACAGGTTACATCATCCAATGTGATACGAGACCCAAGCACAACATATGTATGAGTGCTACCATTTATTATTCTCTTTTTGACAACCAAATTATTTTTGGAGTATTACTCTGAATGATAAATCAAGTGATTTAAAAGTGCAATTCAACATTGGAAAATTGAAGTTGTAAGTGCTTTTATCTTAAGTAGATGCTCTCTATGTACCTTGAATAGTAAGTGCTTTAGCTTTGATCTAACTTTGTGGTGATGGCGTCTTCAGGGAGTGACAGTAGGCCAATACAGTATGCAGGTCCTAGGAAGTGAGGTTGAGCATGAACTCTTACATCTTACGTTAATGAGGGTCTAACTCAGCATGGGTGTAAATTCTGTTTGGGGGGGTTTCCTTCACTCTCTCTGACACGTGGAATCTTCCAACTGCCACTGAATGATTTTAAGCTTCTTTTGGAGAAAGACTAATAGGGTTTTCTTTAAGAATTATTGTTTTGTATGTAACAAGCTAGGCTTGGTATCCACTTCCAAGATTGTTTACCTCTGGAAACTCTATGAAAGTGGAGAAATAATGAAAGTTATACAAGTGTTCGGGTCTTTCGTTCATAGGGTCACTATGAGTCATCTGCAGCTCGATGGCACTGAACAACGACAGCAAATAATTTTGTTACATTATTTCCTGGAGCATGACATTCTTAAAGAAAACATATTTCCTAATTTCCTTTCAATAGATTAATAACCCTTGCCATTACAGTGTAAAATATTCCTATTTCTCCCTTGTTGATTCTGGAGTTGATGGCTTTGAGGAGGATGGATTTGCTGATTTATAGTCACTGTTGTTTTTTTATAAAGGATGGAGGGAAAGGGTTTGCCATGGCTTAGTGTGTCACCATACTCTCCCTTTTGGAACCCATAGCTTTCATTGGCCTTTATAGATACTCAATTATGCTAATCTCCATTGGATGCCCAAGCCTGTCCTACAGGAAGAATTACAGAGCAGACTCCTACACATCGCTTCACATTCACAGAACTAGGAAATCCAAGATGGAAGCAGGAGACGTGCAGATAATTCTTTCTATTTCAGCTAGTTAGGTTCCAAAAAGACTTGAACGTCTCATCCATGCCTCACTGTATTGTTGGATCTGTTTCTATTTTCTAGGTTGGACGAATTGAAGATTTTCTATACCAACTCGAAGACAGCTTCTTAAAAACTAAAAAACTGAGAACCGCTCGAAGGCAGAAAACAAAAATGAAGCGGCTTCAAATCATGCAGAATAACTAGGCTCCATGGGGACAGGCACCACAACCAAGATGTCCCAAAGAAAGAGGCAAGGGGTGTCCACTAAGACAGACTGACAGCCAGACACCAAAGGCAGTTGCCAAGTGGATGTGATGGATCTTCTCGGCTCACATTCTCAAAGACAGTCTACCTTCATCTCAGCTGACAGGAATAAATGTTCTAAAGTTTGTCTGTACTCTTACTCAAATTGGTCTTGTTTAGTTAAAAAGCTTGTCAAAGAACCACCCCCACTTCTTTCGCCTACCTGGTTCTTTTGCAACTAACTGAAGTATTTTAATATCTACCTTGAGTACACTTACAAATCCATGCACAGCTATTAAGAGTTCTTTTCAAGGTGCGGGGTGAAAGGAAATGGAAAAGATACAGGTGAAAAGATAGATGAGTAAGGTCCAATGGAGATTAAACATAATACATGAGACTGATTGTATGAAAAATAAAAAAGAGTTATTCACATGCCATATGCAGGCATGTTGTTGTTGTTGTTGATTGCTGTTGAGTCTATGATGACTCATAGTGACCCTATGAACAAAAGACCTGAAGTCTTTCTGTAACTATCATCATAGAGATTCCAGAGGCATGTAGTTTAGGATGCCACTGTTGCTTCAAAATCTGTCTTAAACTAGGAGCTCCACCAAACACTGTCCACCATGAGCAACTGTTATGGCATTCAACACGCAAAAGGCACAAGGTTGAGCATCACAGCAAACCCAGATTATCTCAGTACAGCAAACCAACAGAAGAGTGCTGTATGATTTAGAAGAATGTTCCTCCAAAATAGAACAACACTAGGCCCAAGGGCCACAGGCCCAAGAGCCCGGCAGAAATGAAAAACCAAGGCACTCTATGAGGTCCTTCATGCCACACTCCTTCACAACCAAATATTTCCATTGGCTTTCACCAAAGCAAAAGTGTCCATCTTAGGTGTTCTACAGATAAACTTCTATTTATTTCTCATGGTTCTCTTACCCCCCCCCATATATGCCTTGACTCTTATAACTGCTGTTAGACTTGGCATCTATGACTTGTCACACTATCCCAAGGACATTCAGCAACACTTGCATTTTTTTTCTAGGCACTGTGATTCCAGTAACAAGGAATTTCAAGTGCTGAGAAGGAATGAGCATCATCTGTGACTTTGCAGTAAAATACAACAGCATGAATCCTTCCAACCGCCACTACTAAAAGTCATATGTAGTCACATCAGAGATGCAAGTTCCTCTTCTCACTTTCTTGAGTAGGAAATGCCCCTGTGGCCTGATGGTTATTCTAAGAGGGAACGGTAGGCCTCTGATCATAGTCAGAATAGCCCCTATTTTCTCTCTAATTACACATTTGTCTCTCATAGATGCTGCACAATTTATCTTATGGTGATTAGTATAAGACTAGTTCCTCTAAGATGAGGGTGATGTTCAAAATGTTCAAATTGCTATACCATCATCTCTGATATTAATGATTCCTTCTCCCTTAATTTCCTCCCACTTCTGTCTATATCTCTGGGTTCTGTGATTCACTGGAAGCTCTCATAGAAACTCAAAACACCACCAGGGAGATGGCTTAGGAGAGACTGTGGATGAAACAGGCTGATGTATGTTGTTATAGCGACCGGTGAATGATGGGTCAGGAGCCTGCAGGCTGAGGCTGTCAGCTGTCAGTGAAGCTGAACCAGGTGAGATACTTTGTCCCAAGAGAGCAAGATGCAGGCATAGACAGACAATATAAATACAAAGAAGCCAAATATAGAATAAAATAAATAAGAAAATATATTTTTTAGAATTAATATTTTTTAAAAAGGAACAGGATCCCAAAATATATTTATTATAATAAGCATGAAAAAGAGAAAAGAGAAGAGGATAGGATAGTTAATGGTGAAATATTTACTTTTTGACTATAAAAGAATCAATTACAAGTCTTATATAGATGTCAGTATAATAATGCAAAATACAACAGCCTTTACAGACTTTGAAATTAAATGACCTTTGTTTTTGCTTAGCTTGGACATCATTTGGAATGCTAGCAGTTCAGGGATAGAATTCTCACCTTTCGTGTAGAAAATCCGGGTTGGATTCCTGGCCAGTATATTTCATGGATGGCCACCTAAATACAGGTTTGTGTTTCACTGTGAGACTAAACAGGTTTCATAGGAGAGTCTAGACTAAGATAGATAAGGAAGTAAGCAAGCATTTTTCACTGTTTTGTTTGTACTCACTGTCAGGGGCCAACTGGACAGAAGTGAAGAAGAAAAATCCACTGAAATGGAAAGAATAATAACATAATGCTATGAAGAACTCCAATCCATTTGGAAACCTAGAAGAAATGGTAATGGCTTTAGACATGCCCTACCTACATAAACTAACACAAAAGTAGACCATATGAACAGATCCATCACAACAGAAGAAGTTTAACAGATCATAAACAAACTCCCAACCGAAGAAAAGTCCTGATCACGTTGACTTCACCAAAAAATTTCACCTCAGTTTAAAAGAAAACAAAAGTTTTACTCAAATTATTTCAGAATATAGGAAACTATTAAACTCATTCTATGAAGTAGACTCAACCCTGATACAAAAGCCACACAGAAAAAACAGTGCTGTTGTTGTTGTGTACCATCATGTCAGAACCGACTCATATCTGACCCTTCAGTAAGTTTTCAGAGGAAGTAAATGGAAAGAGACTGAGGTTGTTCACAATTACAGCTTGCTTGGCTCCATAATCAGCACTCTTGGCACCAGCAGTCAGGAAATCAAAAGACAAATTGCATTGGGAAAATCTGCAGTCATGGTCTTCTCCAGAGTGCTGAAAAGCAACTATGTCAGTCTAGAGTCTAAGCTGTGCCTGATCCTGGCCATGGTCTTTTGCAGTTACTTGCTATGCATCAGAGAGCTGGACAATGACTAAGGACAACAGATGAAGAATTGATGCCTTGAGTTGTGGTGCTGCAGAAGAGTCTTGACCATACCATGGACTGCTAAGAGAGCAGGTCTGTCCTAGAGAGCGTGAAACCAAGTTTCTCCTTGGATGCCAGGATTTTGAAGCTCCGTCTCACATATTTTGGGCACATGGTCAGAAGAGGCCAGTCCTTGGAGAAGGACATCATGCTTGTAAGGCTGAAAGGACAGTGAAGGAAAGGAAGACCTCAGATGAGATGAACTGATACAGTGACTGGGGTAATGGGGACTGGTGTGTCAGAATTAGTGAGACAGACTCAGGATAAGGCAAGCTTCAGAGCGGCTGTACACAGGGTCACTATGGCTTGCAAATTATTTGATGCACATAACAACAGGCATGTTGCCAGGTAAGACCAGTCCTTGGAAAAGAACTTCATGCTGGTAGAGGTGGAGAGTCAGAGAAAGGCAGACCCTCAACAAGATAAAATGACATCATGACTACAGCAGGCACGGGCGTGGCCAAGGTCATGACTATGATGCAGGATGTGGTGCCTGACAGTAAGAATTAACAGTGTTAGATGTGATTTCACTATTTGCCCATCTCCGCCCATTTCTTGCACCAAAGACCCATTGGTAATTCCGACTAGGATTTGATTAAGGAAGAAGAAAAGCTGTTTATTGTAAAGCTTTTATAGAATGGAAACCTAAAAACAAAGAAAAATTTTCAGGGGGAAAAAAGTTAACCAACATTCTCAGCTCTTCACCTACCTATCATAACGTTCAAAATCGTACTGAAAGCACTAGCAGGAGAAGATTAAATAGATGAATGGGACTTTCTAAGACTCTAATTCCTGTGCACATCCAAAACCTTCTCCACCAGGGTAAAAAGGGAAGCCACAACTGGGAAAAAGTGTTTGGCAATGACATATCAGATAAGGGACTTATATCTAGAATTTATAAAAATACTTGAGCACCACAACAAGATAAAGATAAATAATCCAATTGAAAAATGGGCACAGGATATGAACAGGCACATCACCAAAGAAGACATTCAGATGGCCAACAAGCACATGAAGAAATGTTCAAAATCCCTAGCTCTAAGAAAGATGCAAATCAAAACAACTATGAGATATCATCTCACCCCAGTCAAAATAGCAAAACTTAACAGAACACCAAGCAACAAATGCTGGTGAGGTTGTGGAGAGACTGGAACCCTTATTCACTGTTGATGGGTGTATAAAATGGTGCAACCACTGTGGAAAGCAGTGTGGCGCTTTCTCAACAAGTTGCAAATAGAGATACCATTTGACCCAGCAATTCCACTACTGGGAATATACCCTAAAGAGACCATAAACGACATCCAAGCAGATATATGCACACCCATGTTTATTGCGGCTTTGTTTACAATAGCAAGGAGCTGGAAACAACTTAAGTGTCCATCAACAAACGAATGGATAGAGAAGCTCTGTTATGTTCACACAATGGAATACTACGCTGCATTGAGAAACAAGGAACTCATGAAATATTATTCAAAATGGGTGATCCTGGAGGACATTATGCTCAGTGAAATATCTCAGTCACAAAAGGACAAACACTGCATAGTGCCACTGTTGTAGAATGGGACTGACATCAGAGTTGAGGTAAGACGGAGGAAAACTGGATGAATTATGTATACTGCATTGAAGCCGATGAGGGAGAGAACGGTTTAAAAGCAATATATTATAGGGCATTATGATTATCATAAGAGTCCGGAATGAAGGGTCCACAGTGGAGTGTGCCCGGGGCGGGGAGATTGTATACCAATGAAGGAATTTTACTTTTAAGACAAAAGAGTGAACTGGGGGGGAGGGTGTGTGGAAGTGCAACAATGAATGAATGGAAACCCAAAATCTCTGTAAATGTTCATTAAGATTAATTTTTTAAAAAAGCACTAGCAGTGCCCATAGGAATGAATTTTGCTTGAAATTTCAACACTAATGTCAAGATCTTTACGTAGCAATAATCAGCATAATTTACTGCACCTGGCCTCCCATTTCTTGTTTGTTGTTAAAATGTCTGCAGGAAAGAGTTGTAAAACAGTACAGTGATGATAAAAAC